GAGCAGGACGTCCCCCCACAGGAGGAAGCTGCAGCCTCCTGCTCACCCAGGGCGGCCGTCCCGTTTCTGCCTGCCTGCCCCGGGGATGGGCCCTGCTGTGATCCCACGCAGCAGAACGCCCACATGTCCCCACGCGGTGGCTGTGTTCCCCACCAGCATGCTGCTCCCGCCGCCAGATGCCTGCTGCTTTAAGCAGCTCTCCCACTTCTCTCTCCCTCTTCCTCTTTTGCTTTGTCTGTGATCCTCCCTCGGCGTCTCCCATCATTGCTTCTCGCAGCCGGGATCATCACAGTGTGGGCCGGCCGCGGGGCTCTGGTGCTCCCCGCCCCTCCTTGCTGCAGGGCTGCTCCCGGTGCAGCACAGAACCTCCGCCCGGGGAGGAGCGGGTGCTGCTGCGTGGGCTTCCTCGGGGAAGAGCACGGTGAGGAGGAGAGCTACAAGGCTGTTCCTTTGCCAGGGACGCTCAGCAGCAGTGGGAACTGAACAGAGGTGCTTTGGGGCACGGCTGTGCGGTGCTGGCAGTGATCACTGCTGTCTGTGGCTCTGCTCATCCCCTGCTCTGGGGCTGGGCACTATTTCCGTTGGAGTGATTTGGCTCACAGGATCCTGTGCTGCCAACAAGCCCGTGCCGGCGGTTCTGTCAGCCCGTCCCACTGCGCTGCGCTCCTCCCCGCACAAATGAGCATCGCTCTGTGTCAGTTGTGAGCAATGGTTTGACTTTCTTCCCGGAAACAGATGGAATTATTAAACAGCATGAGGAGTCCCGCAGAAGCCTCCAGAGGGCAGCTGGGATGCTCTGCACGCTGAGTTTCAGTGCGTCCTGCTCTGCAGGCAGCGTTAGGTTGGGATGAGTCCCTGAATTGCGTGGGATTGTGTCAGTGGGAACCGCTGTGTGGGGGTCTGCACTGGGTGGGAGGGAGCACTAACAGCCGTCCCTCTCCTTCCGCAGCCATGACCGCATAGGGCGCAGGGATGGATCGTTTCAGCGAGTGTGGGACGCAGACGGACGCCGTGGTGGTGCTGTCCCTGGCACAGGCTGCGGTGCTGGGCTTGGTGTCCGACAATGAGCTGCTGGGGGCCACCGTCAGTCCCGCCGGCTTCTTCCCAGGGCTGGGCGGCGAGGGAGAGCCCGACATCACGGCAGAGCCCGAGAGCGAGGGGACGGCGCCAGACGGGCAGGATGACGAGTCCCTGGAGGCAGAGTGCTCCCCGGAGAAGCACGCGCGCAGGAGGAAGCGGCCCCCGGTGAGGCTGCTGCCCAAGGTGAAGCGCGAGGAGGCGGAGGCGGAGGTGTTCGAGGTGGCCGCGCCCGGGGAGGACGAGGCCGAACCGCAGCGCGGCGCCCCGCCCGCCCCCCCCCCGGACCCGGTGCCGGAGCCCAGCGGCGCCGTGAAGATGATCGACCTCGGCGCCTTCAGCAGGAAGCCCCGGCGCCTGCGGCACCTGCGCCGGCACACGCGCCAGCAGCCGCACGGCCGCGAACCCGACCCGGCGCAGGGCGGCGACGCAGACGCCACGCGGACGCCGTGCGCCTTCGAGGCGGGAGCCGCGTCCCCCGGGGAGCCCGAGGCGCCCGCGTCCCCCGAGCGGGTGAAGAGCGAGCAGGGCTTCGCGTGGCAGGAGCCGGGCGAGCTGGAGGCGGATGCTGCGGGCGGCAACAGCGAGCACAGCAAGAAGGCTCAGCTGGACCGGCTGGACATCAACGTGCAGATCGACGACTCGTACCTGGTGGAGGCGGGGGACCGCCAGAAGCGCTGGCAGTGCCGCATGTGCGAGAAGTCCTACACCTCCAAGTACAACCTGGTGACCCACATCCTGGGCCACAACGGCATCAAGCCGCACTCCTGCCCGCACTGCAACAAGCTGTTCAAGCAGCCCAGCCACCTGCAGACCCACCTGCTGACCCACCAGGGCACGCGGCCGCACAAGTGCGAGGTGTGCAGCAAGGCGTTCACGCAGACCAGCCACCTGAAGCGGCACATGCTGCTGCACACCGACATCAAGCCCTACAGCTGCCGCTTCTGCGGCCGCGGCTTCGCCTACCCCAGCGAGCTGAAGGCGCACGAGGTGAAGCACGAGAGCGGCCGCTGCCACGTCTGCGTGGAGTGCGGGCTGGACTTCTCCACGCTCACCCAGCTGAAGCGGCACCTGGCCACGCACCAGGGCCCCACGCTGTACCAGTGCCTGGAGTGCAGCAAGTCCTTCCACTACCGCAGCCAGCTGCAGAATCACATGCTGAAGCACCAGAACGTCCGGCCCTTCGTCTGCACCGAGTGCGGCATGGAGTTCAGCCAGATCCACCACCTCAAGCAGCACTCGCTCACACACAAGGTAGGTGCCGCGCGGCACGGAGCGCCCGGGCTGCCTTGCCGTGCCCGGAGACGCGTTGGCCGCAGAGGGCGCCAGGGTGCCTGTGGCCCACGTCAGCCCCGAGCCGGGGGGCAGCAGGCGGCCACCGCAGCGCAGCGCCCGCTCCGTGCCGGGCAGCTCAGCTCGGCTCCCCGCTGCGCTCACCGCTTCCTGCATGCCTGCAGGGCGTGAAGGAGTTCAAGTGCGAGGTGTGCGGGCGCGAGTTCACGCTGCAGGCCAACATGAAGCGGCACATGCTCATCCACACCAGCGTCCGGCCCTACCAGTGCCACATCTGCTTCAAGACGTTTGTGCAGAAGCAGACGCTGAAGACGCACATGATCGTGCACTCCCCGGTGAAGCCATTCAAGTGCAAGGTACCAAGGGGCACCGGGGGAGGCCGGGGACGGCGCCTGGCAAGCTGGGTTCTGCGAGTGTGGAGGCTGCAGAAAGGGCGGCGGGAAAGGAAAGGTGTGGGAGGTTGGTGGGAGGGCAGGCAGTCCCACGAGGGATCACTGGGGAGCCATCGGGGCCCCCTGCGGTGAGGCCCGTTCTGCACAGCCGCAGCCCAAGGCTCTGCTGGGCTTTTTGCTGGGACTGGGGGCTGCGGGACCCCAGTAACCACAGAACACTGCTGCAGGTCTGTGGGAAGTCCTTCAACCGTATGTACAACCTGCTGGGCCACATGCACCTGCACGCGGGCAGCAAGCCCTTCAAATGCCCCTATTGCTCCAGCAAGTTCAACCTGAAAGGCAACCTGAGCCGGCACATGAAGGTCAAGCACGGCGTGATGGACATCAGTCTGGACAGCCAAGGTAGGTGTGGGCTGTGCTGGAGCTGTGCTGGGCTCTGCGTGTTGCAGACTGGGAGCTGTGCTCACTGCTGGCTTGCTGCAGGAGTGGGACCGAAGCACGGTGCCCATACAGATGCTCCTTGGGTGCCGTGGTGGGGTGGGGGCCGCTGTGGGGAGAGCAGAGCCGCAGAGCCCCACAGGCACGGGGCTGATTCCGGGTTGTGTGCGCTGTGCCTAGATCCCATGATGGACCTGTCGGGGGCTGAGCACACCGAGCTGGACGGGCAGCAGGAGATGGAAGACTACGAGGAGGAGAACTCGTACGGCTATGAGGGTGTGGGGAACCCCCCAGATGATGGCACACTGGCAGAGCAGGCCATGAAGGAAATGGCTTATTACAACATGTTGTAGCAGGGAGGGCGGGTGGCCCGGGGCGGGCGGGGGGATGGCGAAATGGACCCAGCATGTGAGAGAACTGCTGCTGGGATGCAGTGCTGCTGCAGGGGGGTGAGCAGGGGGCAGGCAGGGACATCCCAGAAGCACGGCTGGGCACAGGGCAGGGAGCCTGGGAGAGCTCTTGCCTTCATGAGGTCATTCCTGCCGGGGGCCCGTTCTCTCTAAGCCTCTGTATAAGGAGTGCCCTCCTACCCGGTGCCCTGCCACCCCTTTGTCTCTCACACCTCAGTGGTGGCCGGACCCTCGCCCCGTTCCTCACCCTCAGCCCTGTGTGATGTACTTGAAGCTGGCAGGCTGCATCCCAGCGGACAACGAGCATCACTCCTGATCCTACCTCCCAGGTCCCCGCTCAGCTGCGCCGTGCCATGCATCAGCCTGGCATCTCCTGCACGGAGACCAGCGCTGCACCGCCCCGCGCTCCCCAGCTCCCCACAGCCCAGAGCAGCTCCTGTTGCTCTGGCACCGGCCGGGAGCTGGTACAGGCAGAGCTGGGGCAGGCCACGAGAGGCCACAGGGCACACACACAAAGAGTATTTTCTTACAAACTAATTGCAAAGCTCAGCGGAAGCAGCAGCTCTGAGTACAGAGTGGCTTTGGTGAGCAGTGTATTTAAAGGAAGGCAAACCCTGTTCAACTTGAGCAAATGATGGTATTTTGAAAGTAATTTATTTTTTTCAGACGTGCCGCGTGGTTGGATTGATCTTTTCACTGAGTTCCGCTTCCCTCAACCAGTGTTCTTTGTAAACCTGTGTAATGTGTGTGATCTGTGGAGCTCTGCGGGGCTGCAGGGGCAGCACGGGGTGGGGGTCCCACACCCACAGCGGCTGCTCTGCTGCACCAATGCTGCACACTGCTGCCGTGTGAGCACCTCTGGGCTGCAGGCAGGAGTGTGCCCTGGAAATGCAGGCCCGGGGGGCTGCGGGCCCCTCCTGCCCTGTGGTGGGAGCGGGCTGCAGGGCTGCCCTTTGGTCGTGGCACAGCCCAGGATGCTGCACCCCCATCCCCGGGGCACACAGTGGTTGCATCCTGCAGCGCAGAGGGGAGCGGGAGGCACCCAGAGCCGAGGGGCAGCCGCGTGCTGACCTCACAGCGTGCAACGCGTCACCACCCTGCCTGCTGTCCCCGTACCTGGAGCCTCCCACCGTGGCTCAGCAACTCCTCCGGCCCAGCCCCCCCCCAGCACAGCCCCCCGTGCCCACCCACATCCCCACATCTACCTCTGTCCCGTTACCAAAAAGCACCGCACCCCGCGCCACGCTGTGCCGGAGAGCCGTTGGGGTGCAGCCCGTGCTGCATCTGCAGAGCGGTTGGCCCCCCGTGCAAAGCCCTACTGTGTTTATTTTTGTCTATCTCCTCGGTTGGAAGAGTTGTTCAGCAATAATTCTAAATAAATGAATTTAAATTCTTTAGCTGCTGCTGCCTGCTGTGCCAGGAGCGCATGGACCCCCCTGCACACCACGGGCCGGGATGTGTTTAATGGCCATTTGGCACCACGAGGTCAGAGGTTACATAAATTACAGCACGGTGAAGGACAGCCCCCCCGCACCCCTTCCTACAACCCCCCCTAGAAACGCTTTAAAAACACACGTAAGAAAATGGGTTATAAAAATGAGGGAACGTTCCTGAGCCGTGTGGAGGAGCTGCAGGTGCCGCTCGCGGGGTGTTAGCAGTGAGGTAAAGGCGGGCGGCACCTGGGGGGTCCTCTACTTTTTGCCCAGGGCCTTGTCCAGGTTGTTCCTGATGGCATCCAGGAAGTCGGTGGTGTTTACGAAGTGCTCGTTCAGCTTCACGCTGAGGGAGAAGGGCAAGGAATGGGAATCCTGCCCCCCAGCCACGGCCACAGCCAAAGCTGCCGCCCGGTGCAGTGCCAGCCCTAAATAGCTGCCTGCTGCCTCCCGGCACGCACAGCCCCCCTCTCCCCCCCCCGCAGCCACGTACTTGGCCAGCCCATGGATGCAGCCTGCCAGGTCCTTCGTCATCGTCCCACTCTCCACGGTCTCAACGCAGACCTTCTCCAGCGTCTGAGCGAACCTGGGGGCAGCGCGCTCAGCAGCAGCCGTGGCCCAGCACGGGTCCCCACGTGCCACACAGTGCAGCCCCCCCCCCTCACACCACTCACTTGACCAGCTCCGGGTTGTTGTCCAGCCTGCCCCGGTGCTCCAGGCCGCGCGTCCAGGCGAAGATGCTGGCGATGGGGTTGGTGCTGGTGGGCCGCCCCTGCGGGCAGACAGCCCCCACTCAGCGGTCGCCCCGGGAGCCCTCACTTAGGGACCCCTCAGGGCGCTCACCCACCTTCTGGTGCTCCCGGTAGTGCCGTGTGACGGTGCCGTGTGCCGCCTCCGCCTCAATGGTCTTCCCATCGGGGCACACCAGCACCGAGGTCATCAGCCCCAGAGAGCCAAAACCTACGGCGGGACGGGGTCAGGACGGGACGGGAGCACGGAAGCCCACCGGCCCCAAAGCTGCCAGCATCACCTTGGGCCAGGATGTCCGACTGCACGTCCCCATCGTAGTTCTTGCACGCCCAGACGAAGCCACCCGAGGACTTGAGCACCTGTGCCACCATGTCGTCGATGAGCCGGTGCTCGTACCAGATCTTCAGCTTGTCGAACTCCGTCTTGTAGTGCCTGCAGCAGCGCAGTCAGCGGCACCGTGCCAGCACAGGGTGCCCACCTCGCAGCCCTGCCCGGCCCCACGCCGCCCCGCCTGCTCCATACTTATCAAAGATCTCCTGGAAGATGTCCTTGAAGCGCCCGTCGTAGGCCTTCAGGATGGTGTTCTTGGTGCTCATGTAGAGCGGCCACTTCTTCTGGATGGCGTACTGGAAGCAGCTGTGCGCAAAGCCCGAGATGGACTGCAAGGGACACGCAGTGCTACACTCAGTAGGGTCCCCCGGGCTCCCCACCAGCCCCATGGCACCCCGGGACTCCCCCGGCTGCTCCCCGGTACCTCATCCGTGTTGTACATGCCCATGCCCACGCCGCCGCCAGGGAAGTTGAACACCTCCCACTCCTTCGCCCCACTGCCATCCTTCGGCGTGAAGATCATCTTGAAGGTCCCGGACTTGTTCACCACGAAGTCGGTGGCTTTGTACTGCGTGGGGTGGCGTGTCAGTGTGGGGCCTGGCAGCAGCAGCCCCCCAGCCCCACAGCGCCGTGCTCACCTGGTCACCGTGGGCGTGCCGACCGATGACGATGGGCTGCGTCCAGCCGGGCACCAGGCGTGGGATGTTCTTGCAGATGATGGGCTCCCGGAACACCGTCCCACCCAGGATGTTCCGGATCGTCCCGTTGGGGCTCTTCCACATCTTCTTCAGGTTGAACTCTGCGAGGTGCAGCAGTGAGGCACGGGGTGCTCAGCCAGCGCCGCGCAGCGCCGCACAGCACGGCCCTCCTGGCCCCTCAGCTCCCTTGTGCCGTGAGCAGCTGCCAGAGCCCCGTGCCAGCAGCACAGCGCCCAACTCACAGCCAGCCCTGTGACACTGCGGTCCCGCATCCTCCCCCCAGTCCCTTCCCACCTTCCACCCTGGCCTCGTCGGGCGTGATGGTGGCACACTTGACGGCCACGCTGTACTTCTTGGTGGCCAGCGCCGAGTCGATGGTGACCTGATCATCCGTCTTGTCCCGGTGCGGCAGCCCCAGGTCAAAATACTTCAGCTGCACGTCCACGTTGGGCAGGATCAGCTGAGGGGGGAGGGCCAGAGCAGGGCTGTTCCGGAGCAGCACAGTGCAGCGCTGTACGGCCAAACCCGGCCCCCCTTCCCCCTCCCCCCCGCGTGCCGGAAGCCGCGCAGTGCGCACCACCTGCTTCCTGCGGGGAACGGGGGCCGCCGTGCCCCGCAGCCCCGTACCTTCTCCTTGATGAAGGCCCAGATGATGCGCGTCATCTCATCGCCGTCCATCTCCACCACCGGCTTGGCCACTTTGATCCGCCTGTCGGCATCTGGCGGCAGCACGGCGTCATGGGGCACCGCGTGGGGACGAGCCTCACGTCGGGCCGGGTGCGCTTCAGGTGCAAAGCGCCAGACGGGGCCGGGAGCAGGCTCGGTGCGAGCCTCCATTGGGGCACGATGGGTCGGAGCACAAAGCCCCCACCCGACCCGGGGTACCGGGGCCGAAAGGCTCCGGTCTGGACGCGGGTCGGGGCGCCGGGCGTTGGGGCTCACCTCTCACTGGGGTCCCACCCGTGGCCCCACCCACGGCCCAGACGAGGTGGGAGCACCGTGAGCTGCACAACCCCACCCGTCTGGGAGCGGCTCCGGGTGCAAACCGCGCTCAGGACGCGGGTACAACAAGAAAGGGCAAAGCCCCACGCGGGATCGGGACGTGGCCCAGGGCAAACCCTCGGGGACACGGGGACACGAACACAGCTGGATGAGGGCGCAGCCCCCCCCCCCCATCCCGTCCTCAATCCGGGTCGCTACGGCCCGCGGGGCGAAGTGCCGGGCGGGGCCGTCTGCACACGGTGTTGGGGCCGGGCCGTGCCGAACCGCTCCGAACCGCGCCGCGTCCCCTCCCCGCACCCCTCCAACCCGCGCCCTCCCCGTCCCAAAGGACGCCCCTCCGCCCCCCCCGAGGTCACCGCACTCACAGTGCCGCCGCTGCCCCGAGGGTCCCAGCGCGGTGCAGATGGCGGGGGGCGGGCAGCGGGACAGCCCGGCGGCGCGGCTCAGCGCCGGGACAGCGCGGAGGCAGCGGGCGGCCATGGCGCGGCGCGACGGGGCGGCGGTGGCGGCAGAGAGGGGACGCGGTTCGCTCCGCCCCGGGGCGGTGCGTAAAAGTCTGCGCCCGGCACCCCCGCGTTGGGCCCCGCACGGGACGAGGGGAGGTGGGGGTGTAAGCCGTTGCCGCCCCCATCCCACCGCCCACCCCGTATCCCTGTGGGGTGCATCAGGAGAACCCCCGGGCGGAGATCCTAAGGGCGTAAGCTGACCCGTGGTGCGCAGCGGGGTGCGCTTAATGCAGGCCACGAGCGGTGCCAAGGCACAAGGTGACCGGGCGGGGACCGGCTGTTAGCGCCGCGTGCTGTGGCCCCCGGGCTGCGTTCATCCCCCTCCTGCTCCGCGGAGATACTGGGGGGCTTGGCACAGTCTGGCTGCATACGGTGGTAGGGCACACAGGGTGCAGCGGGCGCGCTGCGTGTCCCCGTGCCCTTGTGGGGGCTGGGGGGGACGTGGCGCCTGCACATCTGGGGACGTGCTGCCAGCCCAGCCCACAGAGGGCACCGAGCTTTCCCTATATAGGAGCGAGCGATCCAACACGTGATGTGGGCACCGCACCAAGCGGGACGCAGCGCTGCTGCTCTGCCGAGCTCTGCCCGGACTGAGCCTGGCACGAGGGACGCCGTGCCCCACAGACACCCCGCAGCGTGCCCACGGCCGGGCTGCGCAGGGCGTGGAGGCTTGCTGTCCCTCTGCTCGGGCCAGCGGGAGGCTTTTTTTAGCCACGAAGGCTGGGCAGATCCCACTTTGGGAAGCGGAGCTGAACAACAGGCGGCCCCGAGCAGAGGGGCGGCAGGGAGGAGGCGGGGGGGTGAGGGGGAGAGGCAGGGCCGGGCACAGTGACGTCCGCTGGCTTTAACATTAACCAGAGCTGCGGACGGCGGGCTGCCAGCTGCGGGGGCCACGGCTCCAGTGCAGCGTGGGGGACTCGGGACCCCAACATACCCACTGCAGCTCAGCTGCGCACAGCCACGTGGCCGGCACCGTGGGGCTGCCCCATGGCAGGGTGTTGGCGTCGTGGGAAGGATCTGGGGGCCGCCCCACGGCCGCAGCGCTGCCCCCCCGCCGCCCTGCGGTCAGTGACCTCGTGGCAGGGACGAGGTCAGGGCAGCGCGGCTCCGCTGGGGAGCGGCGATGTGGCACCGTCCCAGGAAGGACGGCCTCCCAACAAAGGAGAGCATAGTTGGCTGGAGCAGCTCTCCACAGCTGGGTGGCCCCAGCAGGGTCAGCGTGGGCTGCCGAGGGCGGGGGCCACACTCCAGCGCTGCTTGGAGAGCAATGTGTGCCAGGGGAGTCTGACAGCTGTGGTTTGAGGGCCCCAGCAAGGAATAACGGGGCTGGTGGAGGCGTGTGTCATCTGTGCCCCTCCACAGCCCCCACAACAGCCCCACAGCACACCCCGCTGCACCAAAACCTGAGAGCCACCCACAGTCCAGGAGCAGCCGGGGCCACGCAGGGCAGCACAGCAGCTCCAGGAACATTGTGACAGCGGCACAGCAGCCGGGCTGCCAGGGCTTGGTGGCGCAGCAGGCAGATGGCAGCGCTCCGGGACGTGGCACAGCTGAAAATGTGAATGGAATGGCAAGGATGAGGAGCCCTGGAGGTGTGGGGCTGAAGCTGGCGGGCTGCATGTGGTGCTTGGCTCCATCAGGGCTGTGCTGTTGCCGCAACTCTGCTCAGGGGCTGTGGGGGCTCAGCACCCAGGACCCTCGTGCTGGGCCACCCCAAGCACCCACTAAGACTCAGGGAGACTCCAGCAGCCCTGCTCACCGGCAGCGCTTGGCCAGCAGCCCTAGGCTGCGCGTGGCTCTGGGCAGACACCAGCAGCCACACGCTGCCTCAAAGGCCCGGAGCCACGCAGCAGCGCCAGGACCTCACGGCAATGCCCGCAGCCCCAAGCACATCCCCGTCGTCCGTGCACCCGCCATACATCGCCAACACCTCTGCCTCTGGGGCTGCCCGAGAGCAGCTCCTCCCTGGAAGCACACACAGAACCGCTCCCCATTCCCCCGGCTCTCACGCAGCGCTGCGCGGGGAGCAGCACCGTCCTGGGCCGACGGCACCGCCGCACCGGAACCCCCCCTGTCCCGCACAGCCCCCCAGGTCCGCCTCCTCTCCCCGAACCCGAGCCGGGCGGACGGCGGCGGCGCTGCCGGCGGTGTTGAGCCGCGGGGAGGGGCCGGGCGGGGCGGCCCTTTGTTGCAGGCGGCGGGCGGAGCAGACGGAGCCGCCCCGCACCGCCCCGCACCTCTCCGCGCCCCCCGCGGGCGGGGAGCCCCGGAGCCGCCCCGCGCTGCAGGCGGGATCCGCGCCCCGAGCCGGTAAGCGGCGTGCGGGATGCGTGTGTGTGTGTGCAAGGGAGGTGTGCGGGGGGATGCGTGTGTGTGTGTGTGTGTGTATGTGTGTGTGTGTGTGTGCACGCTGCTGGGCGGGCGCTCGTGCTGCCGTGCAGCGCCTGTGTGAGGCTGGGGGGGGCGCGTGTGTGTTCGTGCACGGGAGGTGTGTAACGGGGGGTGCGCTCGGATGGGGATCCCCGCAGATGCACAGCGGCAGCGGCTGCACAGAGCTTGCAAGAGCCATGGGGGTGGCAGAGGGCCTGCGTGTGTGCAAGGGCGTGTGCAGTGCGTGCAGGGTGTGCGTGCACACAGCGCGTGGTGAGGGGCACTCGGGCCGCGTGTGGGGACGGCTGCCTGCTGCACTCATTGGGGCGCTTCCAGGTGTTTGCAGTGTGGGGCGTGTGCCTCCCCTGAGCGCCGTGCGTGTGTTTACATGCGTGTGGGGCTGCGTTCTGCACACTGTCTGCCCCAGGAAGTGCACACACAGCGTTATGGCCGCGTCTGGGGCGGCTGTGAGGAGCTGCGTGTGCTCTGTCACACGTGGGACGTATGTGTGCGTCGTGTCCCACCTGTGTGAATGTGTGCAGAGCAGGACGTCTGCATGCTGAGCACACCCTGCGTGTGTAGACTCCACACTGATGGCGTTCGGTGCCACAGCAACCACGGGGCTTCAAAGTGGTGGGGGACAGTTGGGGCCACGCAGGTTGTGGGGTCTCAGTGCCTCCGACGTCTGCTCCCGCAGTGCCGTGTCTGCTCTTAGATTCCAGGAGCCCCTCTTCCTGCAGGCAGCATCCAATGAAAGGCGCTGCTGTGCCTGCGGGGGGCCGAGGAGAGCAGCGCTGGTTTGGGCTCTGCAGGGCCGAGGGTGGCCAGGGAGGGGTCACGCATCCCTGCACCGGGACCCCCTCCTTCCCGCACCCTGCATGCAGCTCGGGGCCCCCGCCCCCTGAGGGGTGTACGGTGCTCCGGTTCCCAGGCCACACGCGCTGCCGGGTGGGCGCTGGTTCCAAGCGGGGCCTCTCACTGCTGCCATCCGGGCGCAGCAGAGCAGAGAGGGCCGGCGTGCTGCCGCCAACCCATTCCGCGCGGCCGCGGCTGCGGGCCTGAGGAAGCCCCGTTTCATGGAATGCACGCTTGGGGCCGCCAGCAGAGCAGCTGAGCCGGGAGGATCTGTGCGCGCATCGGCACCGCTCGGCACGGCTGCAGGTGTGCGTGATGCGCGCTCCCGCTCCGCACGCACAGCCGAGGGGGCGGCGCGGGATCCCGCGGGGCGGCTCCAGGCTGTCTGGCAGCTCCAGGGGGAGCCGAGCCGGGGGTGCGCGCGACATCCCCGGTGACGCGGGGCGGGACGAAGGGCCGCACGTGGGCTGCATCCGAGCCGGCGATGCGCCCGCACCGTGCCCGCAGCAAGCCGGCTGCCGAGCAGGGCCGGAGCACGCAGGGAACAGCAGCGCGGCGCGGCCTCGCGTTGGCTTCCGAGTGAGCGGAGGGCTTCAGCGTGGGAACTCGGTGCGAACACCGCGTCCCCCCTCTCAGCTGACCCCGGGCCGCGGGTTTGGCTCTGCCCAGCCCCGCACCCCGAGCTGTTGCCCCGTCTCCACCGCTGCGGCCGGTGCCGGGCTGACACGGCCGTGTACAGGCAGGGCGGGCAGGCACGCACACACGCACATGCCCGAGCGGGGGGCGCGGAGCCGCGGGTGCCCCCCGTGCTGGCAAGCTGCGTGGGCAGGCGGAGGAGATAAATGGGAGCTCGGTGTAAACAGGCCGGGCTGCCAGCAGCGGGCCGCGGGGCCGTTCCAGCAGCGCTTAAAGGCGCAGGCTCCGGGCTCTCTCCTGCTCCGCTCGCTGCCCTCCCGGGGCTCCCTGCCCCTTTGTCCCCCCGGCCCACCCTTCCCGCAGGGCTCGCGCTGTTGCGGGCCGTCCTCCCGGGGCTCCGGGCACCGCGCTGCGGCGGCCACACGTGGGCGATGCCCGGGTCCGCGAAGCCCCGCGGGGACCCCCACGGTGCCGGGGGACGGCGCTGCGGGGGCAGCGGCAGTGCTCGTACCCCACGCGGCGTGACGCTGCCCCGCTCCGTGACGCAGAACGCGTCCCGTCGGTGGCACTTCCCGGGCAAAGGGTGCTGATAAGGCGGCGGGGTGGAGCCGGCCGGGCCCAGGAAGGGACGGCGAAGCGGCGGGAGCGGGAGGAGAGCCGGGACGCGGAGCGACGCTGCCCCGGCCCTGGGCGCCAGGTACGGCCCCACAGCGGGCAGTACGGGTGAGCGGGGAGCAGGGACGGCGCGGGACACGGTCCGGGGAGGGTTCGCCCACGGTCCCGCTGGGGGTGGCGGTGGCCCAGGGGTGCGGGGCCGAGGCGGCCGAGCGAGCAGCGGGGAGACGAACCCCGAGCACGGGAGGGGGCGGCGAGCCCGGCCCCAGGAGAGCTGCCGAGGAGACCCTTACCCCTTTCCCCTCGTTGCCATGGCAAAACAAGCAGCTGTCATTAATAACCGATTGCTATGGCAACCGCTGGACGAGCGCGGCGGTTCTCCGGGGGTCTGCATGCGCTTCGGCAAGAGCCCCCCATCCTGACATTGGCCCGCACGGCTCGGGGCTGGAAGCGGCTCTGCGGTACGGCTCGACCGTACCCTGCACGCACCCAGCCGGGGCCGTGCCAGTCCCCCCGGGGACGGAC